CCCCAAAACCCCAAAACCCCAAAACCCCAAAACCCCTTTTTAAGCGGAAATTATTGAATTTATCGACATGCTAATTATATCTATTAATTCATACTCAAGAGCATATTTTGTGGATTCTCGATGAGCTTTCTGATATCTTCAGAGAATCTTACGCAAGTTGCTCCAGCAATAACTCTGTGATCTCATGAAAAACTAAAGTTAATAGCGTCGATAGGTTCCCATCTGTTTAGATCATTAGCACCTTCGATGTATTTAGGTTTCTTGGTCGCTTTGCCAATTGCTACAATTGCTCCTTGTGGTCTAAGAATAGTTGGAACGAAGTAAGTCCCTCCTAGATTTCCTACACTTGAGACAGAGAAAGTTCCATCAGAGTAATCTTCTTTTGTTAGCTTTCCAGTGGCTGCCTTATCACGGAGTTCTAGGATGCAATTGTTGATCTCAATTATGGATTTGTTCTGGACTTTATGGATCACTGGAACTACGAGACCATTTGGAGAATCAATAGCTACTGCGATGTTGTGGTCATGCTTAATCACATATTCTTTGATGTAGCCATCCTCATCAGTCTCTGGGTTCACATGAACGTTCATCCCTGGGTTATTCCTCAAACTTAAAGAGATTGCCTTGATGAAGAAAGGAAGAAGTGTTAGCTTTTTGTTTGTTAGCTTTAATTCTTGTCTTAATTTCATTAATTGAGTCGCATCATACTCATCTTGATGTGTGAAGAAGGGAATTGATAGTGACTCAGTCATTGTTTTCACCATTCCTTTCAATACTCCTCCAATTGGTTTAACTTGGTCTTTGTCTGTTACACCTGTCAGAGAAGGTTGCTGAGGGATATGCCTTTTTCCTCTTGGCTGAGATGTAGACTTGCTGAGAAAATTATCAATATCAGCATTAGTTATTCTCCCATCTTCTCCTGAGCCAAGTACTTTTGTGATATCAACATCTTTTGTTTTGGCATAATTTCTTGTGCTTGGGGTTGCTAGAACCTTTTCACCACCTGTCTGGCTTTTATTATCTTCTTTGAAGGAATCCATTGAAGCTTGAGCTGCTGATGTTTCATCAAAAATATTTTCCTCTGCGCTTTCCTCTGAATTAGTTTGATCTCCTTCTAAAAGTTCCACATCTGCTAGAGTGCTTCCAACTTGGCAGATCTCATCGTCTTGGTAATAAATCTTTTTAAGAATACCTTTATGGGTGCTTGGGATTTGAGCGACCAGTTTGTCTGTGAACACCTCTCAAATTTCTTCAAATTCATCAATTTCTTCCCCTTTCTTGACAAACCATTCCTTTATAGTTGCTTCTTTGGTACCTTCTCCAAGATCTGGCAGCTTAATCTGAATCATTTGTGAGAAGTATCTAGCTAAAGCCGTATTTGAAGCAAGAGACTGGCAAGCACCTTGTCTATAGAGAGAACTTAAGGACCTAAAGGCCCTCCTTTGACTCATTAACGCAAACATTATTATTAAATAAGATTTTATCCAATCTTATATATTGAAAAAGGGGTTTTGGGGTTTTGGGGTTTTGGGGTTTTGGGG